CTTTAAAATTAGAAATCCTACCCATCATAGAAAATCCTGGGTTGTCTAAGAGGAATGCACTGCCTTCAATCCACTTTTGCACAAATTTATGTATTTTTTCAAGGCAACCTCGGTGTGAGGGCTGGAACCTGGATTTAAGGAATCAGTAATGTGTTTGAATCCTGGCTCACACTGGCTGTAACTGAGGGTAAGCCCAGTGAAATGTAGAATGTTCTTTCTGGTGTATGATGGTGGTTTTCTCTCTCAAAGGGAATCAAGGTAACCTGGCTGATGTGGCTCAGTGGTTGAGCATTGACCTGTGAACCACGAGGTCATGGTTAAATTCTGGGTCAGGAAACATGCCCAGTAGGGGTTGTGCAGGAGGCAGCCAGTCAACGATTCTCTCTCATCATTGATGTTTCTGTCTCACCCGCCCTCTCCTTTCCTGCAATCAATAAAAATATATTTAAAAAAAAAAGAATCAAGATAGGCAGACAAGGATGGGCAGGGAGATTTCCAGTGACCAGGGAACTCAGGCTCTTTTCTTTGCTGTCTGCCAGTGTCAGTGTGTGGCTTACTCACAATCCAGAATGGCTGCTTGGCCTCCTGCCATGATCTTTGTATTCTAGCCAGCAGAGAGGAGGAAGGCATAAGAAAAGGCTTGCCCCTGACTGTAACAACTTCTTGGAAGTCCACACAGTTCTGCTTAATCTCTGTGGCCAAAATTCAGTCTTGTGGCCATATCTCAAAAGAAGCTGGGAAATGAAATCTTAATTGCAGGTGGTCATGTGCTCAGCGGAGAATTAAGGTGTACTTTATTCGGGAAGAAAGTACAAATGTTAGTGTCATTTTGTAAAAAATAACTACCTTGTAGGATTGTTTTGAGGATTAAATGAGCCTGTGCATGAAAAACACTAGCCCAGGGCCTGGCTATATAAGATATCAATAACTGGTAACTTTACTATTACAATAAAGCTCAGCCCATGTTGCCTTCATAGGGCTTTTATTAATCCCCTTTCAAGTATTCTTTCCTTTCTCTGAATTCCATAGTATTTTATTCTCATTTTCTTTTATGGCAATTGTCATTTCTATTTTTTATTTATGTATGTCTTAAGCTGTGTCGATTAGATGCTTTTTATGGTAAGAAAGTTTGTCTCAAAATGATGTAGGGAATAATTGGCTCATATAATTGAAAAATTCCAGTGGTAGGGCAAAGTTCAGGTATAGCTTGGCTAAGGCACTGTTTCCCTTTCTCTAGCTCTCTCAGCTCTGTCTTCTCCATGTGTCAGCTTTCTTCTAAGGCTGCCCTCCTTCATGGATGAAAAGCAGCCCTGAAGTGGCAGATTTCCTTGCTCATATCAAAGAGGCTAAACCTTTAAACATTAAAGTCCCTCGCTTTACTCTGACCTGAGCATCCTGAACTAATCATAGCGGGCAGGAGAAGACCACACATCTGATGTAGCAAGAGTCATGAGATGACTGTTACGGAGCTGGAGGCAGGGTGAGTTCCATTAGGGCCACATGGCAGCTCTACATTGGGTGTTTTTCCAAAGCAAAATCGGGCAGGCACCCCACGAAAGCCCACTATCCAAGCCCACTAAAGCCTAAACCCCTGGGCATCAGATTTGCTTTCTTGTTCTCCACAGCATCTAGCACGGTGCCTTGTCAAATATTTGGCGAATTCAAGGGTAAGTTTGACAACATAGATGGCTGGCTGGCAGAGGAAGCATTGTCCAGTGTAATCCACCAGTCAGTAAACAGGGTATAGTCAGATCCTTTCCCTATCTTGGTGGCATAAAGAGCCAGAGGGCAAAGAGCAGGAGGAAGGAGTCAACCCAAAAGGGACCAGGGAGTGGGGTGGCCTTCCCCTGAAGAACACAGGGAGGTGCCAATCCCCAGAAAAACAGCCTCAGGAAGATCCCTGCTCCGGGTCCACCCCTCTCCTGTGGTCTGCCTCCTAGGGGTGGGGTTTTGTTGTTTTGAACATGATGGGCTTAGATATAATGGAGCCTTGTTCCCAACCATGTCGGGGTTCCGAGCTGCCCTTTTAGCTTCTATCCACAGGAAAGGCCTCCAGTCATTTGGGAGGAGTTTCCTGGGCTGCCGATCTTTCTCTCCACTGCTCTCCAGTCGTTGCACCAGAGCTTTGGCTCAGCAGGCTTTGGGGAGAAGCCTGCTCTGTTGCTTCCTCTCACTGATCTCGGCTGTGCAGGCCGCTTCTGGTTCCTCAGGTACCCAATACCCAGTCAGCAGGTTCTCACTGAGAGGGAGGTATGCATGTCACTCTAGCAGGAAGTACTAGATTAATTTCATTATCCAAGCCAAATCAACCTCCTCTGACCCCCCACCCCACCCCACCCCATCCCAATTACTTGGCAGGAAACTTGATCCATCATAATTGCGGCCCCCAGCTACCTCCATGGTCACGAGGCCTGGGGGTGTAAGCCAGTGGGAAAACCTCTACCATTCCTCACCACACAAGACTTGGCAATTATAATGGACTTCCCCACCGAAATAACACCTCATACCACCTAACTTCAGCCTTAGTTGCTGCCAAGGCACTTTGCTGTGGCTCCTCCTACCTCGTACCTTCTCACCAACCAGTGGCTAGAGGCCAGGACCCCTTAAAAGTCGCTATCCCCAGGGCTCTGCCCTCTCCCTGAACACTCCCCAGCTCCTGTGATGACCTCTCCCATAAGTTGTGTCTCCAGCCCCCGACAGTGCCCTTCCTGAGTTCTGGGCCCAAATCTGCACTTAGACATCCTAGACTGAGCTTCACATTGTCTGTCTATGCCTGAGCCCCGCTCCCTGCATCCACCCAGTCACCCTGAGCCAATCTTCCCTCCATCCCCTTTTGTCTCTGAATTCCATCACTTCTGCACCCTCTGGGCCTCTGTTCAGGCCCTCATTGCTCCTAACCAGGACTTGTGCCCAGTCTCTGCAGGACAGTGCCTCCTGTATCCTCCCACACCCATGCCCCTGCTCAGTGCTGCCAGGGGATCAGACCTGCAGGAGTGCTGACCTGCAGAACTCCTGGTGTCTTCCTGCACTGCAGTCTGACTCACTGCTCATCCTCACGCCTCATCCCCACACAACCACAGTCTGTGCTTCAGCTGCATTGAACTTCCTGCTTCTGGGATTTTCTGAGCCTTTTCTACCTCCAGGCCTTTGCACATGAGTGCTGCCCTCCCTCCCCCACCTCCTCTTCCAGGACCCTCTGGGGTCCCCGGTGGGGAGGCTTTCACGGCTTCAGCCCCACCTTTGCTGAAGGCCCTTCTCCAGCACTCTGCAGCGTGGAAGGGTGATCTGACTGCCTGCCCATCTCCTTCATGTCCTCCTCAGGCCCAGAGGCTGCCTTGTGGACTGCTGTCTTCCCAGCACCTGCTGTGTTCCTAGCGGGAGTAGCTACCCAGGGAATGCTGAGTGAAGGCCCTGACAAAGCCTGTTTCATCTCCAGTGATTCAAGGCTGGACAGTTGCCAGAGTGTAGCTGGTTCCCTGCACCCACCTCTCCCCACCCCATCCACCATGGTCATTGCCATTAGACCAGTGGTTCTCAACCTTCCTAATGCCGCGACCCCTTAATACAGTTCCTCATGTTGTGGTGACCCCCAATTTCATCCGTTACAAATTGAACATAATTAAAGCATAGTGATTAATCACAAAAACAATATGTAATTATATATGTGTTTTCGATGGTCTTAGGCGACCCCTGTGAAAGGGCCGTTCGACCCCCAAAGGGGTCGTGACCCACAGGTTGAGAACCCCTGCATTAGACAGTTCTGCCAAATCATCTTGCTTAAAAATCTTAAGAATAAAATTCCAGGCCCTTAGCCTGGTTTAAAGCCTTTCGAACCCTGCCCCCAAACCTGCCCCACCTTCTTCCTCCACCACACACAGTGACGCTGCTGGGAGGAGCTCTCCTCCCCCCGCCCCCCCTCTGCATTTTCTTCTGTGCCATTGAGCAAGTTATTCTTTCTCATATACCTGCTTATTTAATTGTTGAATCATTAGTATAGGTAAGAATGCCGTTCCTGGTACACAGGGACAGCTCCATAACAGCTTTTGTTATCGTTGCCGGAAGTCATTTACTACAGGAGGAAGTGCAATGGATAGGGGCCAAGATGGCATTAGAACCCAAAGTTCTTGCTGGAAGTATCACCAGGAGGTATCGGAAAAGGGTGGCATGGGCATCACACGTACCCCAACCGGGGATGGAACCCGCAACCCGGGTATATGCCTTGATTGGGAATGGTGCCGGCGACTCTTCTGTGCCAGTGGCGACGCCCAACCACCTGAGCCGCACCGGCCAGGGCATCTCTGCGCTTTTATCCAGGCAGAGGCTGGCCCCCGCGGGCCTGGCTGCAGCGCACACCGTTTGTTCTGGACATGAGCACCCTTCCCATCTTGTCCCACCGCAATGTTTCCAGAGTCAGTGGTCCACTCCTGGACCCCCACATCTGGTTCCCCGACCCTGCCCACATTTGAACCCCATACTTAAGACCCCAGCACGTTGCCCCGCTCCCCCCACGTGGTTCCACACCGTGCACCTCACCAGGGCCCCCAGGACTTAGTCCCCTTTCACTCCACTCCCGATAGGCCCCCTACTTCACACCTGGGCCCTATTTCGGCCCGCCCCGAGCCCGGCCCCACACTTCACGAACCGGGCTCTGGCCTGCCCTCCACACTTGCGGTAATCGTGTCCCGGGACCAGCCGCTCTGCTCCGGGGCATCCCGGACGTAGGCGCGAGGGCGGAAAGGGACAGGCGCTCTCGTCCAGGTCTCCTCCTGGCTACCGGGTTCGGACTTGATTTACCAACCTCGTGCATCTCCAATCTTACCCCCGCCTGCCTTTGCTCAGCCGCATTCTCAGGACGGCGAGCACACGCTCCTCCGGGGAGCGCCACCGGGGAAGTCCCTGCAAACGCCCTGCCGCGCACACCGGATCCCGCCCCGGAGAGCGACGGTCCCCGGAGCTGTGAGAGCTCGGACCCGGGGGAGGCCGCCGGGAGGGTTGCGAGGATGCCGAGCAGAAAATGCAATCTGCTGCTCCTTTCGCCGGCCTCCCCGGGGGACGCAGACAAGGAGAACTTAGCACTCCGGGTCCGGGCAGCTCCGTGCTCCGTGGGGACGCTGTTCTAAGCGACAACAGAAACGGGCATTCTCTCCCCGGCCCCAGGTGGGAAAAGGCAGGAAAGAAGTGAAACTTCGTGAGTCAGCGCGGCGAGGCCAGCCCGTCCCGTCCCAGACGCGCCGCCCATCGCCGGGACCCGGGGCCAGTGCGGGGCGGAGGCGTGGAGGCGCGGCCCGGGCGCGACGGGCGGAGTCCTCGTGGGCCGGCTCTCCCCGGGCCCGGCCGCCGGGGACAGCGCGGCGGGCAGGCCTTGGGCCATGGCCGACGGGGCGGCGCAGCCGG